CACGGTTATATTGTTTGCACTCTAGTGCTATCCGATAGATAAATCTTATCCAGTGGATAATTTATTAAGATGACAGTATCAACAAATGAAATAAAGGAAAATCATTCATCTATTCAACCAAGATAAGGATAGGAAATATAAATATTTGTTAAAATCATCCTTAGCCAGCTTTAATGTGTTGCCCAATTTATCATCAATCAGAGCTAAAAAGGTGTTGACAGAAATGTAAAATGAGAGTGATTTTACTTGACCCGTTAAACAAAGTGGTATAATTATTAGTGACTAACAGTACAAGTACAGTAAAACAACAGAAAACAATGGAAATAGTGTCTACTACAGCATTACACTSAATATTAATTTTTTTCACAGGCGAAGTAAAATCATTCTATCTCTTCCATAATGTAGATAAGATGTGCAGAYTAATCCACCATGGTCTTGTCAATCTTTGCTCTTTATTCAGAATGACTGGCAACCAGCAACAGAGAACACACACTTCTGGAACATATCATTTGTGGTTATTTTTGTCCATTCTTCCATGTATATTAATATTGCTTATTCATTGTTAATAATTGTCATTGTTTCAAAGTGTTCTTCATAAATATTTTGTGTAGCGTTTCATTCATTTTTTCTTCTTTTCTTGTTTCATTTTTCGTTTCTCTAGCTTGGCTTGCTCTCTTTCTTTATTGGTCTTGATAATTTTGTAAATAAAGTAAACTGAAATCAGAAATGAGAACAGATGAATCAGTAGGATAACACTGATAGCAATGCTACTATAAATAGTGGTATGATGGTGATGATACATGATATGAAGGTGATAATACATGATGATGATGATACATGATGATGATACATGACATGATGGCTATGAATTATGATAGTGATACATGGTGATGATGATGACTGTTGGTGATGGTGGTGGTGATACAGGATGATAGTGATGATAATACTTAATGATGCATGATGATGGTAAAAAATTATGATCCTAATGATGATGGTGGTGCTACATGATGCTGATGATAAGCAAGATGATAATGATGTTATTAATGATGGTGATATATCAATGATGATATCGCCGATGTTGATAATATTGGTGATGATGATGATGATGGTGATGATGACTAATGATGATGATGATTTTGATATTGATGGTGATGATGATGACTAATGATGATTCACTCATACTTTGTTCCACACACAGACACAGCAAACAAAACCAATTTTATTAGGGGAGGGGTAGGGAGACAAACTACCTACAGGGGTGGGGACAGGATAAAACAACAAAGTTATAAAAAGCAAAAAGGAACATTGAGTTTTTTATTTTTTAATAAATATAGTAATTACCATTTTTACTTGTATTTCATGTAGACATGAAAAGGTAATATTAAAAATCAAGTTCTTCAATTTGAAACYTTACAATAATTTTAGTGGAAAGACATAAATATGATGTCGTAAATATAATTGAAAATTAGGCTACAAGGTTATTTGATACCTATGTTAAGAAACTATCTTATTAATAAATACTAAAAACCTTTATCCCTAAATTATAAGGATACCGCTATAGCAAAGATCRATTACAGTCGATTTATTACGAGAGAAAATAAGCCTAAATATTTGATTCTTGTGGTTGGAGGAAAACCAGAGAAACCAAAGCCACTCAAAGCAGCCCAACGAGAACTCTAAATAAATAGATACTCCGCATCTGATAATGATGAATAAATTGAAACCAAGAAAGTAAGAAAATATTTTTTTCTTCAAAAAMTGGTTGAATCAAATCAGCTGTTAATCGTAAATATTCAAGCTTTTAACAACAAAGTTTTTAAATTTTTCCTTACCTATAAGGGCGGCTAAAATAGCTCCTGGAACGAGAAGAAATTTAATCTCAACTTTAAAGCTTTCAGGCGATTTTGGATTGTTTAGATCGACCATTTTTAAAAGTATTTTCTGGTAGGTTTACTTTGTTGTTCTTATTGAAACGTGTAAGTAGTTCGTTACTCGATTTGATCTTTTGTTCCTTTGGATGCGTGGAGGCTGGGTATTACATTAGTACTTAGACTGCGAGGACTAAAAAACACCACAGGGTGATCGTGTACTGCACACTAAAAAATGGGAGAAAAGAGAAAGAAATAATGCTCAAGAGAATTACATGTGTTCTGAAATGGGAAAACATTGCACCATAGCTGAGAAGCGTTCCTAGTAATGAAAGAAATAATACTCAAGGGAATGACACTTGGTCTCAAATCAGTTGAAGATTGCAACACTATCAAGGGAAGAGAGGGATGGATGGGTGGAGGGAGGGAGAGAGGGAGGGAGGAAGGGGGTAGGGAGGGAAGAAGGATGAGGGAGGGAAGGAGGGGATAGGGAGAGAGGTATGGAGGGGAGGAATGAGAAAACAGTCAAAACAACAAACTCCGAAACAGCAGGAAGACACTAGCGCTGTTTGGAGTCAAAAATTCCGCAATCTTGCTTTTACTTATTCTAACGTAACAAACTTTCTTGTTTGTTCCTCGTTGCCCCCGAGGCAACGTTAAACTGCTTGTCATCGAGTCTGTTCAATCAATGTTGAACCCCCATTATCTCTAGTGATGTTGTTCAACGAACCGTCATATTTTCACCGCACGGTTACCCTGTGTTGTTGACATACCGAACGTACGCCGTACGAGCCGCTCAAATGACCTGGCTTCGGTTCAGTCAGCCTTGAAAATATATCTTAAGGCTTTATTCTCTTAATTCCTCGATAAATATGACTTCTGAAAACGTTCCTTTACGAGATACTCCACCATCAAGYYCAGCTGGAGAAGAAAAAGTCAAAACCAAAGGCTTCCAACTGCCCGGTCTCTACCTGAGCAGARCAAAACTCATTATCCTCGTCGTTGTTGTTCTACTCCTAATCTTACTTGTAATAATCTTAGCTGCTTGTCTGGGTGTTGCTAATGCAAAGCTAGCTAAAGGTAAGTCTGTATTTTATATTTTTAGTGCTTCTCTTGGTGCAAAATACCCTGCGAGCAGAGACTCTGCTCGCAGGGTAGCTTGCAAAAATGAAGTTTTGATTTTAGGTGCGTGGTTAAAATAAGGTGTCAGTGCACCAGAAACATAATTAATTGGTCGTATTTTTGCTTATATATACTGTTATTCTTACGTTTATTATCTCCGTGTTTCAGAACTCTGCTTTATATATGGTATTCGTATACTAACGATCTTACTGTGGACAGGGTCTAGTCACGATATTGCTTTATATTTATGCAAATATATTTATGGCTACCTGGGGAGTTTTATAGCTTATTAATGTACTTAGTGCACAATTAAGGGATTAAGGGAATAAAAATACTTAAAAAACTCATTAATAATTCATGAAGGAAACACAATAGAAATCATGACCATGAAGGAGGTTTTATATCTGATATAGATTCGTCTTCATTTGCATAAACTTTAACTTGGATTTTCTCAATCAAACTTGGTTCATTTCGTAAAGAATTCGGTACAGTGTGAGAACATACATCAGGAGTTTTTTAAGCCGTTCAATAAACTCGCAGATCCTTTTTTTATCGGGTCTAAAACCACTCGGCTGCGCCTTGTGTTTTATACCCGATAAAACACTCCTGCTCGTTTATTAAACAGTACATAGAAAGTGAACTCATTTATCTTGAATAAGTCACAAACATATCGTCCAAAAGTATTGAAAGCTGCATTTATCAAAGATCATTTTGCCATGCGTTGATATATAACACATAAAATAATCAAATTAACTATATATCCAGTCCAGAATGAAGATTGGATCTTTGTTGTTTTAAATTCGGTCTTACGGAGTACAGCTTGAGTTGTACTTTATATGATAGCACTGAAAGACAAAATATAATTTGCTTTGACCTTTGGTGAAATATCAAAATTTCTTGATCTCTCCATGAGGTTTGAAGATAATTGTTTGATTGATAGATACCTTATCAATAGATTACTTCAATATGGAAATGTTTCGTCTGGAATTGGCATAATTAAGGTTAGAACAAGTGGAATAAATCTTGAATAAATGAGTATATATTTTTATACAAATTTGATAACTTTTTAAAAACTTTTTGCAAAGGCATACTACCCACCCCTCCCCCCATACTTTGATTTGTTTTTACTGGTTTTCTCTCAAAATAAGAAACTTAGAAACCAACCTGAGCTATAAATGATTATTACTTGCCAAATTAGTTCTAACTCGGCCATACCTCATTTTTGGCTCAACATTACTGATATTTCCATCTGGACTTATGAACAGACATTTAAAACTTTAATTTGATCCCCAAATGTCATGCCCGCAACATGGAATTGCCCATCATAATGTCAGACCAGCAAGGCAAAGATTTGACCAGAAAAGATCCAATCGTAGGCAGACATTGTCTGATGGCCAGCCGTTATTTTAAGTTTTGGAAACTGTGGTAATTAATAGTTTGTGTAGCCAGATTTTCAATTTTATTTTTAAAATTTTTAGAAAATAAAAAATAATTTAATTTTACAACATAACAATCATCCCTGAACAGAAAAAAAGTTTAAATAACTTATTATTAGTTTATTCATCTGATATACTTTTTGTAACATATATATTATTATGTATATATTATTATA